TTAAAAAAATAAATATGACTTAGTAACTCAGTAAATATTCACTACATATTCGGCACTCAATTTAAGGAATGAAAATAAAAAATGAGTTTGAGTCATTGAGTCAACTCGCGAAAATCCAATGAGTTACCCAGTCCTAATATCCTGTTTTCTATTCTTCATAAAACAGTGCTTTATTGCGCTCCAGCCTTTTTAATTGAACCCACGAGTACGTTTTATATAATACAAAAAGTCGAGAAACTTTTCCAAGGTTAAGTCGGCCAAACAATCTATTTAGACAGTACTTGCTGAATTGGTTGCGCGTGTTGGCTAGGGAGGGACAATGGCAGATATAATACTCTCTACTTCTTCCTCGTCGCTGCAACTGCAACAAAAGTCATTAGCGGGGTATCCTAATCTACTAATAATTTGAGAGAGGGGCGGAACAGCCGAGTGAGAGGTATGGATTTACTTCAGATATCTCCGTCCCCCTACATTCCAGCTCGAGGGCTAAGCATTTGCCAGGAATGCCCCTGTGTCCAATGGGGCTTGATCCATTCGATTTAAGAGATTTGATAGCATACTGTCTATCAGATTAAAAAGCGATAGGGGCGGACGTTACGAGCCTCTGAGCGACCTCTGTGATGGCTTTTAACTCTGCTTGAAAAACGCTAGAATGGTCTGGTATGCGAAAACTAAGGTTTAGTGCGTGTTCGCCAGAGTAGATCCTACTACCAACTCTTTTGTTAAGCTTGGAACCATCTGTATATAAAGCTGCCGACCCTTGGTTTGTCTGCGGCCCTTTACCATTCGTTCCTATCTGGGATTCTTATGGAGAATTTGTTGTCTAAACAGGGTAGATGAGTTTTATAGTCTAACTGTCGTAGATTATCCGGTAGAGTTTCAAGTACTTTTGCGTGTCCGAATCTGAGGTCTCTCCACAGCTGGATCGTATTAAACCTGACCGCACAGCAGCCGACCCAAAAATTGCCATAGAGATCCACAGGTAAAACATTTAACATTATTTCCAGAGATATGTTGGGTGCATGCAGCCGTCCTCTGTACCCGTTCCACCTTGGCTCTAGACAAAGTATTGTTAAGCGCAGGCCACGGTGGTCCCGTAGAAAAGGATGGGTCTTATCACAGCTGTGTGCATTCAGTGTACTATATGTTGTTTTATATAGTTATCTGACTACTATTTATTTTTCCTAAGCTTTGCTTTGATACTTTGTAGCAATGTTGCAAACAATACTCAATTCTTAATGTTATTGCTGCAGTCCTCCGAGCAAGCCTATTCGGGTAGATGGGTTTTTCGCAGTAACCAATGAGGATTTTATCCCATGGGAATTAAAGTGGCCTGACTGTCGCGCTCAAGGATGATATCTATCTACAGATTTTTGGTGAGAACCACTGCTTGGAAGATACTGTAACGTCTAGAAGTGGAACTAACATGTTTAGTCCTGGTCCAAAGATGGCAATTGCTATGCATTTAGGTGTTTCCAGTACTCGATATACTAATGTGAGGAATGCAATAGGGAGTATATTACAATATATGTATGTATATTGACATATGTCATCTCGGGGTGGATGGGGCAGGGGTAGTTGCGCGTGTCCATGCACCATTATGGTTGTTTCCATAAGAAGGTCTGATTTTTTAAATATATACTGGCTAGGTAAGTATAAACATTTCTGCGTAACATGGTTTTGCTAGGTGGTGCCAAGGTCGAGATATTTCGAAAAACCGTATTTATGGTCCCATTGGTTTCGAATTCGGCGTATGTAGTTGAAACATAATAAATCATAGATTCCCAAAAAAAAATTATCCTGAAGTTTCGCTGAAGTCAAGATGTATAGTATATTTGACATAAACTGCATGTTGCATTTGCGTTGAAAATTCATTTAAAAGCAAATTAACAAAAATATAACGATGGAAATTTCACACTTAGGGTTGTAAAAGACAATTGAAACAACTTGCATTCATTCTAAAAACTCTAAAAACCACTAGAATTACTCCAAATCATATTAAAAGAAGTTTCATGAAAAGAGCCATCCACAATTCGCGGAGTTTTGCGATTTTGTAAGAAAAGAACAACTTCCATTTTTTGTCACGTAACAACGAAAAATCAACATGCTGCAACCCTTGCGGAAACATCTGCAGCATTGCCAGCATTCAGTTGTTTTTCGAAGACAGCTGAATGAAGGAAAACAAAGTGGAATGGAATTTAAAAAAAACACTAATGAAACGCTTATTTATAGTAACATTTTTTGATTTTACATATTTTGAAGGAAACGATGGATTCTATTGCATTTGCAATTATAGCAGCTGAGTAAGAGCGCGCTGTGGGAATGATTTCTCAAAGATATGCGAAGCTGTCGCGGATAGTAACCATGGGCGCTCTACGTCAGCTTTAAGTTGAATTGTTGAACCACAAACCAGGGCTCGAATCGTAACATCCGTTCAGGGAANAGTTGAATTGTTGAACCACAAACCAGGGCTCGAATCGTAACATCCGTTCACGCATCGAAAACGATACGAAAGAAAATTACGTGATATGTTAGAAGTGTAAGCTGAATGAGACAAAGAGTACGGTCACGCATGTCATAATTCGAAAAATGTATTTTTATGTGACGATACGACGTACGATATCGTATGTGACGATTCGAGCCCAGAACTACTCCTATGCCTGAAGAACTGGTTCTCAATCTAGTTAATGCAATAACAGCTTCTTCCAAGCCATTGAAAACATGCACTTTGTTAGGTCCACCACCTGCCTTAGGCCGCGCTTAGGGATTATAACCCTTACTAAGTCGAATTCTCCTTTCTGTGTTTCCGGAGAAGAGGGGCTTCCGCATGTCAAAGGTATACAACACTTCTGGTGAATATCACTCCGGCTACTCCATCCACAGTATTTTTGCGCAGACCCATGTCGAAATTTGCAAAAAAAGTGCATAGTGCAAACCGAATTTATTAATAAACTAGTGCTCGGAAATTTGAAACATTTATTTTAAATAAAATTTTAATCCTTTGATTACACGTGATGTTAAAGTTTTTGGATTCGGGTTATGCGCTTGGACACAACAACCGAAAAGCATTGTACAAATAACTAAACCGGACCCAAGTTTCTCAATAGGGGACAACAAAGATTCTTTTTTGCTCGTTTATATAAAGCAGTGCGAAAGGCAAAATTATCTGTTTAAATGAACACCACTAATGTTTTCTGCAAACACACATCGATTTACATCTTTTATCTCGCCTCCGAAACAGAATTGTTTTCGTACAAAATTACGCAAAAAAGCTTATGGTCTAATTATGCATACTTCGCATAACTTCGCACAACTTCACATAAATTTCAAACTGTAATTTCGTATGTATGTACTCTTTATATATTTTGTATCTATTCCATTACTCATAAATTAGCAGAACTTTTAAAAACCAAGCGATCTGTTGAGTTTAGATTTTGCTTCACATTTTCTTAAGTTACATTTCTATTGCACTGGTACAAATGGTTATGCGAAGTTATGCTAAGTATGCATAATCAGACCTTTACTCGTTCGTTTTTAGGTATGCGTACGTTGTCGTGTCTTCTCTCCCTCTAGCAACGGCAAATTGTATATGTTATTCCGTCCGTCAACCTAGGTTTACGCTGCGTCGTTGAGTGCCCGTGCTATAAGGTTTAAACACTTCGACGAGCCATACTATTAAAACCCTCTAGGACAGAGGTGGGCAGCTTCGACAGAGAATTTTTGTAGTGTGCGAGAAATTGATGTCATTGTGTGCGTGCGAACAAGTCGGGCGGTTGAATGAAGTTTTCGCTGCCTTCTAAAAGCAGCGCGTGTATGTATACGCGAATATGCCCGCTGGACAGGCGCCGCCCAGGTCTGCTCTAGAGAATTATCTGGGTCGGGATTCAAAAACAGGAGGAGGCTATCAACTCAGCGGAATACATATATCTTTTTATGTATGTTACTGCATAACTTTGGGCCGCATTAGCTAATTTATATAATACTGTTATAAAAGGTTTGTTCGTCGAGCAAAAAAATTTCTACGAATTTGTACGAATTATCACGATTTTTGCCCAAATCGCGTTCGTGCAGACCAAAAAATTATCCAACACTCAAAAATTGTGAGAGCAAAGTGACATTCTCTTGGAGAGAAGTTGCAAATTCTTGCTGGAAAAAATTTTGCCAGCAAGAATTTGCAAACACGAGAAACATGTGGTCGTGGCACATGGTTGCATTTTTGTCTACAATAATTTGAATAAATTAGTTCGTCAAATTCAAAAATTTATAAACACGAGCGATTTTTTTATGAAAAAAGGAACTTAACTCGGCTGAAAAAAATTGTATTTGCAATCGGAATGCAATTGCATCAGAGTCGATTTAAGAAACCCGACAGCTAGTACGATGAAGAAATTGAGATGTATGTTAAAGAAAGTCAGAACAACAAGAAATATACATGAATATTCTGTTTTTGGCCATCCGAAAGAATTTTAAAAATTCTATAAAAAATGTTTATGTTTGAAATGCAACCGTGGACACCAGCTGGCAGGGAAACTTGCAAATTCCTGCAAATTTGAGTTCGTGCAGAAATTTGAAAGTTTCTCAACATGAGAGAGAATTTGAGAGCATTTTTTCTTACTCTCTAATATTTTGAGTGTTGGATAATCCTTGCTGAATTTTCGACGAACAAACCTAAAGGTGGTACCTCAGAGGAAGTCCAATACTAATGTGTTTTAGACCCGATCATTGCATCATGAAGAAATTGACGGTACTCTTAAATTTGTATGTACATATATGAGAATTTAAGTCGATTTTGTTATTTGCTTAAAAATTACTTGTTTATTTACAGCTGCCGGTTCCAAAATAGTTTTTAGTTATATTACAATGAACAATTCAGGAAATACTTAAGTGTGTACACCGTGTGTCCCGGCTGGTGTCGCGGAGTGAGAAGCTAGAATTATAACTGCGGAATTTCAGTGCTCCTTGCAAACATACTTTTCGGATGCCAACAGTGAGGTCTCCTTTCGACTTATGCATGTATATTTTTGTTTGCGAAATCTTTTATTCAATTTCTTCTTTCGAAAAGTTATAAATCACTTTAGCACCACCGCTTCGAGACGTCTGCGCGCCTCCCGATATGCGAGCATTATATCATCCAGTGTCATTCCACTCGTTCTATTCGGACATGGTTGCAGCAATTCACAGTTACGTTGCGTGAAACGCTGACAAGTGAGCTCAAGCTCTCCGGTGCTTTCCATACGACAACCATAGCGGCATTGCATAGGCTCATCATCTTCATTCGTATCTGTGTAGAAGCGCATGTAATCAAATTTGCGCCGACCGCCAATCAAATAGCGCGAGAATGATTCCAGTAAGCTCTCAGCAGGTCGCAAACACTGTAGCTTCACCGAATTCCAGCCGGCCAGCAGAAATGTAGAATAGTGCGCATAGCCCTCGACACGCTCACGCTCCCAGCTGTCGATGGAGATGAGTTCAAAGTAGATGTGCAGCAGATGCGCCGTATTAAATTCCTCCTCGCAAAGCACCGTCAGTTGCCAATTGTAGCCAAAGTAACATTCTCCATTGGTGTAGCTGGGCGAACAACCGTGCGTGCTGGCGTGGAGAAGACCCTCTTCGAGTAGCGTATGCGGCGGTAATTGTATGTGGTAGCGTGCGTGTATGCTGTCATAGCTGAAGCCGCTGGCCGTACGCAATTCAAATAGCAACGCAACGCGTGTGGTGCGCTTTGGCGGCATGGCAAACAAAGCGCTTAAATCACGCGCCTCCTGCCAGTGTGTGACCAATTCGGGTAGCTGCAGAAATGGTGCAGGATTTGTAAGGCGTCTGCGCTGCGAGACGTTATGCACAGCGTAGGCATATAGATGTCTATAATCCGTATCGATTTCGATATAGTAAGGATTCACTTCGAAGTCGTTGAAGTCGGGATAGATGCGCAATTGACGCATCTGCGGATGCCAAGCAAGCGAGAGTAGTTGTGTGTCGGGGGTTAGTGCGGCGTACACATACATTAGCTGTAGTGGCTCAGGGGCAGATGCAAGCGTACTGGAGTGTTGTTCAGCGCCGCTTCCAGTCGTCGCATGCTCAGAGCCATGCGGTATAAAGTGATCTTCATGCACATAGGTAAAAATTTGACCCCAACGCGGTTGCGCTCTCTCCTCCACCTTTCCCGACTTCTTCTGACGCTTCTGACGTTTCTTTCGCTTTCCCCGTTTGCTGACATCGCTTGAAGCCGTCCCACCGGTTGAAGTTTCTGTTGGCACATCGTCCTCTATAAGCCATTGGTGATACTGTTTATGGGTTTCGGTCACACAATTCCGTGCATCTTTATACAGCTCAGCTTCACTGGGGCTAAGTAGTTTCTGCTGCCACCGGATGCGTGTTACGCAGATCACATTGTCCTTCTCCGACTGTTGGTGTCGTTCTCCTTCCTTAGCAGCACTTTTGTTGGTGTTATTGCGACTGGGCTCAAATTTTGGTAAAGTTAGCAGCGAGTTGATGTGGCGGAAATGCACATCAAATTCTAGGAACTCAATATTGTCACGAATGTTGTAAATGCCCGTGTGTTTTGGTAATTTGTGAAACATTTCTTATGCTGAAGCAAAATTTTAGTGTTTTCGTTTGCAATTATTTGGCGTTCAATACTTTGTTTACAATTTTCTGCTGTTTGGCTGCGTTTCCCATGGAAACGGATTTTTCACAGTAGCAAAATATCATGCAGTGGAACTCTAGCGTGAGAAATATTTCGCATTGTTCTAAAATTCAGTGGCTGGATAGCGAATGGTGGCGCTTATTGCAGACTGGCAATCAAATCCCTCGCGTAGCGTTTGTGGCGTCATCAGTTGTAAAAAGTGTTAAGTTCGCAACGATAGATGGCGCCGTCCTGCGAAACGTTCAGCTTTCTAGCGCATACGGATACCAAGAGGTGGCGTTATTGGCAATGACAATACTTTGCCACCCACAGAGGGCGCCAATATGGCTTGTAAAAATTCTGTTGAATTTAATGTTGATAACATAATACAATGTTGAGCAACATGAAATGTGATGTTCTTTGTGAGCAAATAAACGAAAATATGGTAAATCTTCACATAATTTTCATTAATTTGTAATTTTTGTTAAATTTTTTATCTTGTTCTCCTTTTATGAAGATGCAAATACAATTTAAAATAATGATAGTTTGGCATAAAGTTTACACACATATGTACATGCATACATATTCTGGCAATCAAAAGTGAGTGCATGGTGTTTTTTGCTTAATATTTGCAATGTTTTTCAATTAAATTCATGTATATTTTTTTAATAAAATTAAATAAATTAATATAGGTAAATTATATTAAATGTACTTTTATATTAGTTAAAATTGCTGACTTGCATTTCTGCATGACCATTTGTTAAATATAATTTATTCAGTAGTTAATGTTGCTAAAAACTTAAAAAGCATCTGTTCAAGTTCGCTTCTTGTACGAGTATTATATTATGTAAATAGTAAAAATGCATGTTAGTTAAAAAAATGATAAAATTGGTTTTTTCACATACTCACTTTAAAGATGGACGCATTGACAAAAAAATGTATAAAGCAATGTGTTTGTTAACTTCAAAGTTGTTTTTGACTTTTACTGCAATACTCGTAGATATTATTTGTAAATAATAGTTCTGGAGTCAAATGCAAATCCATTTCCCAGGCATGCGCATATGGATACTTGTAGTACATACAGATGCGATCAACTAATTAGCAACGAAATTCAAAATGAATTGTTTGCAAATTATGTTTATTTATTTATTTTTAATAATTTCCTTTAAAACATAATTCAATCTATAACAGAAATCAAAATAATAAATGTTAAAAGCTTGCACAAATTGCAAAATAATAAATCAAACTTCAAAAAATTGTTATAAAAATTTCAAAATTTTTAATTAGAATATTTAGAAAATTTTCGGGTATGCAGTATTGTAGTCCATTCAATTATAGTATAACAAAGTCCAAGTTTCTAGTCGTCAAAAATTACCGTTGATTTCTTAGATTTTTTTTTTTTGGAGGGTGTTCGCATTTTCTTCCATATAACACATGAACCAATTTTTAGCAACTTCAATCTTGTACTTTATTATATTAAAATTAAATCTTTTTTTGTAGATTCTAATTAAAATGTTTGCAATTTAGGTGGAACTTTGCAGAATTTTTAAATTTGTGTACAAAGTTTGATCCAGAACCTGAGATCTACACATTTCTTTGAAATCTACCCCATTT